GCTAATTTCTTTCTTTCCTTTTTTTTTTCCCTTTTTTTGGGTCACACCCAGCAATGCACAGGGGTTCCTCCTGGCTCTTCACTCAGGAATTACCCCTGGCGGTGCTTGGGGACCATATGCAATGCTGGGAATCGAACCCAGGTCGGCCTCGTGCAAGGCAAACGCCCTACCCGCGGTGCTATTGCTCCAGCTCTCTTTTTTTCTTATTATTATCGTAATTGTGTCTTTAGGGTGTCAATTAGCAGTACTCAGGGCTCACTCCAGGCTCTGTGATTAGGGATCACCCATTGGCAGTACCAGGGCCTCCGATGGGGTCCTGGAGATGTAACTGTTTTGACTGTGTGCACGGCAAGTGCCTCCCCACTGTGATTTCTGCCCTTCCCGTCCTTTCCTACCTTCTGTACTGGGGTTAGTGGCTGAGATTTCCATGCTAGTCAGCCGGTGAGTGGGTTTCACCTGTGTGGTGACCCCCCCACCCCCATGTCAACGCTTCCAGGTTCTGATGCCGGGGTCTCACGGCAGCTAGATGAGAAGGCCTGAGGAACATGGGTGGAGTCTGTGTTCAAGGTTAAATCCAGATGATTTACCCGGAACTTGTTTCTGCCCTACTTTTGGGGGTTCTTATGGGAGCTTTCGTGATGCAGACAGAAAGGATGAATCATTGGCGCTTTGTGCCTGATTTGTATTTGGTTTGGGGCCATGCCCAGCAGAGTTTAGGGCTTGAGGTCAGTGGGCCCACAGGTGACTTATATGAAGTGGGGAGAAAGATGGTGACTGTCTCTCCCATTCACCTCTGCCACCCAGGACCCAGGGTTCCTGGGTTCCTGTCTTGCCCCCCAGGAAGGAATTTAAGAGTAGAGGGGAAGGGAAATGACACAGGTTTTATTTGAAGGGTTTTTTTTTTAAATAATTTTTTTTCTTTCTTTCTTTTTTTTTTTTTTTGCTTTTTGAGTCACACCTGGTGATACACAGGGGTTCCTCCTGGCTCTCCGCTCAGGAATACCCCTGGCAGTGCTCAGGGGACCATATGGGATGCTGGGAATCGAACCCGGGTTGGCCACATGCAAGGCAAACGCCCTACCTGCTGTGCTATCTCTCCAGCCCTGGAGGTTTTTTTTTTTTTTTTTTTTTAATAATTTTTTCTTCTTCTTTTTTTTTTTTTTGCTTTTTGAGTCACACCTGGTGATACACAGGGGTTCCTCCTGGCTCTCCGCTCAGGAATACCCCTGGCGGTGCTCAGGGGACCATATGGGATGCTGGGAATCGAACCCGGGTCGGCCGCGTGCAAGGCAAATACCCTACCCGTTGTGCTATTGCTCCAGCCCCTATTTGGAGGTTTTAAAAGGGAGGAGGGCGAGAAAGTGGGAGAGAGTGGGGAGTACCGTGCTCAAGAGAGAATCCATGGGCCAAGAGAGCCCCTACACACATCCCAGCGTTATACACGAAAGCATGAAAGCCCACATCTCAAGAGGGAAGATGCAGGTGACTCATGTGCTTGGCCACGTGGGCCCAGGCAGCAGCACAGGCATTTACAGGCACCTTTGTTCAAGGTGGCCTTTATTTTTTTATGTAGGAGTACTGCTATTTATTCAGCCACTGATTAGCTGATTGAATTGGGCATGAACTCCACCTTACTTTTTTTTTCCATAATTTTATTCATTTTTCTTCTTATATTTGTTTATTGAATCACTGTGGAAAAAGCTACAAAGCTTTCAGGTTTAAGTCTCGGTCACACAATGATCAAACACCTCTCCCCTCACCAGTACTCATTTTTCACCACCAAGAACCCCAATATACCCCCCTCCCACCCCTCCCAATGCCTGTGAGGCAGATGATTTCCACTTAACTCTTCTCTACATTGATTACACTCATTATTTCGACAAAAGATGCACCATTATTGTTTAGAATTTCCCTCCTCCCCCTCCGCCCAACAATCAGAATTGCTGACAAGGCATTGTGAAATACTTTGTTTTCTATAGCTGGTTATGAGAATCATATAATCTCGCGTGGCCGCAATAGCAGTCTTGCGATTTTGGATTTCTGCAAAGAGCCAGATAATTACAAGATTGGTTTCTGTGTGTCTGGTGTTATGGCTGTGTCGGAGAGCCGGTCGTGGGGGACAACTCGTGACCTCAGTAGGGCTTGAAGGACGAGCCGGTACCGGGCCCCCTTCCCATGAGATGCAGTTGCCCCGTCACCGCTGGCTCATACCTGGCTTTCCAATAAGCTCTGAGGCGGTGGCCACCTTGCTGCCAGTGGGAGAAAGGTGGAAGGGAGCAACACCCTTTCCCTCCCGGGGAGGCATGGTGCCGTAGTTTAAGTCATGGTCTATTCACTTTTCTGCCGGAAGCTGCCGGGCTCTGAATTAAGTCCTTTTGCCTCTGGAGCCATGGCCATGCTGGAGAGCCAATTTCCCCCACAACGATCAGAATTGCTGACGAGGCATTGTGAAACACTTTGTTTTCTATAGCTGGTTATGAGAATCATATAATGATTTTGGATTTCTGCAAAGAGCCAGATAATTACAAGATTGGTTTCTGTGCGTCTGGTATTATGGCTGTGCCAGAGAGCCGCTCGTGGGGGGCAACTCGTGACCTTAGTAGGGTGTGAAGGACGAGCCGGTACCAAGCCCCCTTCCCATGAGATGCAGTTGCCTTTTCACGGTACCAGGCCCCCTTCCCATGAGATTGCAGTTGCCCTTTCACGGTACCGGGCCCCCTTCCCATGAGACTGCAGTTGCCCCGTCACCGCCGACTCATACCTGGCTTTCCAATAAGCTCTGAGGCTGCGGTCAAAAGGTGGCCTTTATAGGGTTTCTCCCACCTGGCCCCACCTGGAGCTTTCACCTAGGTTAAAGTCCATTGATAAGAAGGTCGCCAAGGGGGTTGAGGAGTGGTGATGGTCTTCTTGAAAATTTCTTTCCTGGCCTTTTGTTTCTGCAAGAGCTTCTCTGGGTCTGTTGCTCTAGATAGGTGAGGGTCTCATAAGGCCTTCGTTCCTGTTTTTCTGCGAGGCTGGCCTTTGTACCTTCAGAGCCCTCACTTCCCAGGAAATTTACTGTCATCATCTGGGGAGGGGCCTTCCCTCTCTGCCTGACCTCCTACATCAGGCTGACTGCTGGCTCTGAGCTCAGGACTCAGAGCTGAGGGTCCTGGGGGGCCTTATGGGATGTCTGGGATGGTACCGGGGTTGGAACATGCAATGTCTGTGTCCATAGGCAAGTCTTCCTGGAGGCCTTTGTTAGGTCTTTGCTAGGCAGATAGCAGGATCTCTCCTGCCTTTAGGGGAATCCTGAGACTGGGAGCCGCTGTCCGAGCGGCCTAGGGTCTGAGGAGTGGCCAAGAAGCTTCTTCTAGTCATCAGCATATCACAGGAACCTTGGTCTTTTTTTTTGGGGGGGGGGGACCCACACCTGGAGATGCACAGAGGTGACTCCTGGCTCTGCACTCAGGAATCACTCCTGGTGGTGCTCAGGGGACCATATGGGATGCTGGGAATCGAGCCCGGGTTGGCCACGTGCAAGGCAAACGCCCCACCCACTGTGCTATCACTCCAGCCCCCAGGAACCTTGGTCTTGGTCTTTGCGATGTGAAGTGGGTTTTCCCACAGGATGCTCTGTGACCCCCTCCCCAATTCTTGGTGGCAAAAGGGAAAGCTGGTCTCCAAGCAGACCGCTGAAGGTGCTGCATTATTCGAATGAAGATTCCCTCTGTCACTCCCCACTTTTGTTTTTGGGATGCTCAGGGCTTACTCCTCGCTCTGTTTTCAGTTATAGCTCCTATCAGTGCTCGGGGACTTTAAGGGATGTCGGAGATCAAATCCAGGTCTGCTGCGAGCAAGGCAAGAGTTTTTGCTCCAGCCCCGTCCCTTTGTCCCTCTTTTCGACAGACCCCTCAGAGTTGTCCATACGTGTCCATATGTGCCGGGCGCTGTCGTGGCTCGTGGCTCCCGACACTTGCCACTTGATCACTGCATTCCGCACGCATCCTGGTGTTTCCCGCAGGGGCCCTGGGGGTTTCAGGTAGATCCCAGGACCCTACTGTCCCCACTGAGTCCCCCTGGCCCCCGGGGGTGCAGAGGGGGCCTGGCTGGTTGGCATCTGTGTGTGTTTCAGGAGTCGGTATCCTTGGAAGACGTGGCTGTGACCTTCACCCGGGCCGAGTGGGCTTTACTGAATCCTGCCCAGAGGCGCCTGTACAGAGACGTGATGCTGGAGGCCCGCAGGCACCTGGCCTTCGTGGGTGAGGCTGAGGCGCGACCCCTCCCCACAGCTCAGGGCACAGAGCCCGCTGCCCATGTTCCCTGAGGGACCACGGAACGGCGCTGCCAGGAAGAAGGGGCCTGTCTCTGGGCACCCTGGCCCAGGCGCGGGGCTTTCCCCAGGCAGGCAGACGGGTTCACGCGTTAACTGCCTTTTCTCTGATTCGGGGCCACACCAGAATGGAGCAGGGTGTCACAGCCACTGCCAGCACCTCTGGCTCTTGCAGTGACCCTAATGGTGCTGGTTGTCCCCCACAGTATTCAAGGACCCCAGGGCTGCACCCGGCAGTGCTGGGTGAGGGAGGTGGTGCCCAGGATTATATTCTGGGCCACGAGCATGCCAGGCATTGTGCTACCTTGGAGCTTCTTCCAGGGGGGAATGGGGCCCACACCCAGAGGAGCTTGGGGCTGACCCCTGACTCTGTGCTCAAGGCACGCTGTGGAGTGCGGGGATCTGACCCGCCTGGTTCAAGGCAGCTGCTTCCTCTTCTGTTAAAGCAAACCGGCGGCATCAGGCCTATTCCAGTTCTTTTTTGTTCCTGCAGAGAATCTTTTTTTCTTTGGTTAACAGACCTGGCGAGGCTCAGGGCTGTTGCCTGACATTGCTTGGAGGAGCCTATTGGGTGCTGGGGAGTAACTAGGGTTAACTGTGTCCCAGGCAGACGCCATCCCCACCATCCTACCGATCTGCCCCTCCCGAGTCTCCCTCTGGGACTGAATTGTCTCCCTGCTTGTTCCAGAGGGTTTCTCTCAAGGAAAAGCGAGTGGTGCTCTCGGATGCGTCTTGAAGAATAAGCTGTTGAGTGAAGACATCACCGCGCGGTTCATAAGCAAAGGATCCTGGAATGGATTTGGAGAGAAGCGGATGTTCCCCGAGGCAGGTGACCAGCTGCCCACGAAGAAGAAGCAGCAGCGGCAGAAGTGAGTGGCCTGGTGGGGGCGGGGCGGAGGGTGCAGGCTGTGGGTACCGCTCAGGAGTCTCCAATAGCCTCAGAATAAAAATCAGTGTGTCCAACTAGTGCAGGACTGAGTAGTGTCACCTCCACAGTCTCCTTCATTTACCACACCCGTGACGGGCAGGGCTGACTCCTGGCTCTGCACTCAGGAATCCCTCCCGGCCGGACAGTGGGGTCCAGATTTTTTTTAAAATTATATTTATTTATTTTTTAATAGTGAGGCACCATGAGGTACAGTTGTAGACTTACACATTTTTGTGCTTGGGTTTCGATTATACAATGATCAAACACCCATCCCTCCACCAGTGCCCATTTCCCACCACCTCGGATCCCAGCATCCCCTTCCCCCCCCCAGCCCCTATCCCACCCTGCCTCTGTGGCAGGGCATTTCCCTCTCTCTCCTTTTGAGTGCCATGGTCGGCAAAAGAGGCATTGAGTGGCAATCATGCTTGGTCGACAGTCTACCCTCAGCATGCTCTCCCATCGTGGGCGGATCCTCCCAACACCCTTTATTTGGTGTTCCCTTCTCTTTCTGAGCTCCCCCTTCCCCTAACATGTGTGGTTGTCCTCCGGGTCATTGAGTAAAATGCCTGGTACTAATCTCGGCCAATCTTGAGTGTTAGTCTCCTATTTTGTTACTTTATGTTCCCCAGAAGAATGCAATCTTTCTATGTCTATCCCTTTCTTTCTGAGTCATTTCGCTTAACATGATACTTTCCATGTGGTACCACTTCAGATTTTTTTTTTTAATTGAATCACCGTGAGAAAAGTTACAAGGCTTTCAAGTTGAAGTCTCGGTGATACAATGATCAAACACCCTTCCCTTCACCAGTCTTTAGTTTTCACCACCAAGAACCCCAGTATACACTCCCCCCACCCCTCCCGATGCCTGTGAGGCAGATGATTTCAACTTAACTCTCTCTCTCTACCTTGACGACATTCATTATTTCGACAAAAGATGCACCGTTATTTTTTAATTTTTTATTTTTTTGCTTTCTGGATCACACCCGGCGATGCACAGGGATTACTCCTGGCTCTGCACTCAGGAATCACTCCTGGCGGTGCTCAGGGGACCCTATGGGATGCTGGGGATCGAACCCGGGTCGGACGCGTGCAAAGCAAACGCCCTCCCCGCTGTGCTATCTCTCCAGCCCCAAGATGCACCATTATTGTTTGGAATTTCCCCCCAACAATCAGAACTGCTGAAAAGGCATTGTGAAATAATGTGTTTTCTATAAGTGGTTATGAAAACCATATGAGGTCGCGCGGCCGCTGTTGGATTTGGATTTCTTATATTTTACTAATTAAGTCTGGAGGGATTTCTGCCAAAGGCCGGATAATTATGAGATTGGTTTCTGTGCATCTGGTGCCATGCCAGAGAGCCGCTCGTGGGGGGCAACTTGTGACCTCGGTCGGGCGTGAAGGATGAGCTGGTTTCTCCACCCTTCCCATGAGGTTGCAGTTGCCCCGTCACCGCTGGCTCATGCCTGGCTTTCCAGTAAGCTCTGAGGCGGCGGCCACCATGCTGCCGGGAGTGAAAAAGGCGGAAGAGGCAGAGGGAGGCCCTTTCCCTCCCGGGGAGGGGCATGGCACCGGAGTTTAATGCATAGTCCATTCACATTTCTGCCGCAAGCTGCTGGGCTCTGGATTAACTCCTTGTGCCTCTGCTGCCATGGCCGTGCCTGGGGTCCGGATGGACCCTGAGTCAGCCTCATGCGAGGGGAGGGTCCTGTGACCCTCCACTGGATTCTTAAGTGGTTTCCACTCAGGACCCTTCTGGGTGAGAGAAGTCCCTTCTCCAACTCCCCCCATGCCACCCCACCCTTTGTGGGCTTAAAACAGGGCCCTGCATGTAAGCTTTGATGAAAGATGAATCAAACATTTATTAAGAGAAATATTCAGAAAGCCCTACAGTCAGTGAAGCCATAACACAGTGGTTAGGTTCAATCTACAGCACGGGTTTGGGCCCCCAAGGCATTGCTTGGGAGTGATTCCTGAGTCCACAGCCAGGAGTAAACCTCGAGCTCTGTGGAGTGTGGCCCCAAAGTAGGACAAAAAAAAAAAATCAACCCCAAACCAAAAAACCAAAACAGAAAAAACCAAAACACTCATGATCAAGGGTGGTGAATGATTGTTGATATTCATTTATTGTTCTGTGTTTGAGCATTGCCAGGACTCCTGGTCCTGTGCTCAGGGATCACACCTGGGAGGGGGGTCGGGGGACCTGGTGGGGTGCAGGGACGGATCCTGGGCCATCTCACGCACGGTCCCCGCCCTCCCACTGTCCTGTGGCCGCGGCAGTCGGGCTGGTCTTGCTTTTCTGCTCAGTGTGTGTGTGTGTCTTTGGCAGACGCCTCTTGCCGGACAGTCTTGGTGACAGTCATGGAGCTCCCCAGGGAGCCGCAAGAACCCCGAGGCAGACTCGAAGCCTCCCTGCACCCCAAAGTCCTGTCGCTGCCTCTTCTGTGGAATGTTCTTCCCCCCGGCAGCCCCCAGCACCTCCTCACGGCTCTCCTCCGAGTGACCTGGCTCAGGGGGGCATCTGCAACCCGGCCACCCAGGGGACCCCCTCTCCCAAGTCGGGTGCCCTCGGGCGACACCCTCAGGGGGCCTCTGTCACTCCAAGTCCGACTTCGCACGAATGCAAAGTGTGTGGGGAGACCTTCCGTGTCTCCATCCTCCTGACGCGTCACATCCGGGAGCACCACAAGGAGACGCTGTACATGTGTGAGGTCTGTGGGAAGGGCTTCCGCTACCTCAAGAACTTGAAGACTCACGCCAAGGCCCACACTGACCCCGAGAAGCGCTTTAAGTGCCCCGAGTGTCCCCAGGCGTTTAGGTACCCCTCCAGGCTGCGCGCCCACGCCCTGGTGCACTTGGGGGTCAGTGCTCTCACCTGCGAGCATTGCGGGTTAAGCTTCGTGTCTCGCTGGAAACTGCATCGGCACAGCCGGACCCACACCAAGAAGAGGAGGACGTTCGACTGTCCCGAGTGCGGAAAGGTGTTCCGGACTAGCAGCGCGAGGTCCAAGCACATGCCCGTCCACACGGGCAAGCGGCCCTACTCCTGCCCACAGTGCGGGAAAGGTTTCCCCGTTCTGAAAGACCTCAAGCGCCACCTGGTGACACACATGACCCAGAGTCCCTTCCAGTGCCCCGAATGCGGCAAGTCCTACCGCTGCCGCTCCTACCTATCCGGCCACCTGCAGACACACCACATGGCCCAGCCCTTCACCTGCCAGCAGTGTGGCACAGTCTTCAGCCACCCCAGGATCTTCCGCCGGCACCTCAGGAAGCATCTCGAGAAACAGACATTCGTGTGCCACTGCGGGCAGGGGTTTGAACAGGCCGAATCCCTCCAAACGCACGTTCGCCAGGCCCACGCCGGCGGGGAGAAGCGCTGAACCCATCATCGCCCGCCCTCTGCCGGGATGGCCACCCTGTCTCCCACCAGCCTGCAGGGAAAGAACCCTCGGGGGTGCCGAGTGCATGTGGGATGCAACCCCGTGCCTCGGTGTCTCACCCCCCAAAAACTCACGGTAAAGCCATTTCTTTTTAAAATCATGTGGGGACTCCAACTGATGGTGCTAAGGAATATTTGAGGTGCAGTTCCAAGGAATCAGTCCTGGTGGTTCTCAGGGGACCCTTGGGATGCCGGGATCGAACCCGGGTCAGCCACCTGTAAGGCCATTGCCCTCCCCGCTGTGCGATGGTCACCCCCCAGATACTGGAATCTCGCTGCTGTGAAGTCCTTGGTTCCTTGTGGATCTTGTCCTAGGAGGAGGCCTAGTGGGGAATTAATATTCCAGTGACGCTGTTGCTTGTGTTTTTATGTTTGTACGGCCATACCCGGTGCTGCTCTGGGCAGATTCCTGACTCTGCTCTCAAGGATCAATCCCTCGGGCCTCAGGGGACACTGTGATATGGCCTGGGTTCCACCCTGGTCAGCTGCTGCATGGCCAGCGCCCTCTGCTTTACCATGGCTCCGGCTCTGAAGTTCTATTTTATTTTAACCTCTTTGTGATTTCCATGACTGTTCCAGGTAGGGTTTACAAGCATCAAATATTTCAGAGATTTTCTTGGATTTGATTCAAACACACACTGTCCCCCCATTGTTCATCGATTTGCTCGAGTGGGCCCAGTAGCGCCTCCATTTTTTTATTTTTTTTTTTGAGATTTGTTGTTACTGTGTTCAGCATATTGAATACATCACGGGTAGCTTGCCAGGCCTTTGCCATGCGGGTGAGATACTCTCAGTAGCTTGCCGGGCTCTCCGAGAGGGGTGGAGGAATCGAACCTGGCTCGGCCGGGCAAGCTGCGCGCAAGGCAAATGCCCTAATCCACACAGTTGGTATTCAGGGCTTCCTCCTGGTCCTGCACTCAGGGATCACTCTGACGGTGTGCTTGGTAACCCTACAGGGTGCTGTGTTTCAAACCCAGTTGGCCGCATGCAAGCTGGGCTCCCTGCCCACTGTCTTACTGCCCTGGTGACACTGATACAGGCTAAGCCAACGCTGACCATGGTGATGGTGTCCGCCATGCAGCACACCCCCAAGAGGCCCTGAGAAGCCAGGCCAACGCTCTGTCTTGGGACCCGGGCGCGGAAAAACTCCGGCAGAGGAGGCAGGCAGAGGGGTGGCGGGGATTTGTGTTGACTCAACGCACTGAGTGGGATCCCTTCGCAGATCTGGGCTTTGAAGAGGCTCATTTTTCTTCATGCAGAATCTTGGTTACATCAGACGGTCACGGTATATTTGGTCACTCTGGTAAACATCGGTGCCTGGTCAATTGGACGATAATATTCTTAGCCGCTTAGACCTGTGCATCTGTGTACCCTACAGTGTCAATGTTTAGAGCCATTAGTGACTCTACAATAAATATCTGTTCGTGATGAATGTCAAGTTTTTTCTTTTCCCAGGGGAAGCATCTTGGTTTATTCTCCTGCCCCTGGATATGGGAGAAGAGAATCTCCCTCCCTCCGGAGCTAGAGAGACCCCTTCATTGTGCTATGTGTGTTGAACGCAGCGAAGTTTCCATGTGTGAGAAATGGAGTGGGTCCCTGTGTCATGGGTATGCATCGCTCTCTCGGTTAGTGTGGTAGGAGTTTCTTGGTCGGAGAGACAGTGCAGCGGGGAGGGTGTTGGCCTGGCACGCAGCCACCTCTGGTGAGATCCCAGGCATTTCATGGGCAATCAGATGTGACCTCCAAAACCATAAAGGCAGAGTCCCCCAGCTTCTGTTCTCTGTTGGTCTCCCCCAAAGTACTTGCTGCCTGTCCACCGTTCCATGTATCCCTGGGAAGTGTAATGAACCTCCTTCAGTTTTTCCTGGATGTTGGCTAACTCAGGTGAGTTGCAGTGAAATAAGGGCCACATTGAGTTACATATAGGTTTGTAGGGTGGGAGGTCCTGGGAAAACCTGAACCCAGACCCTCTGATTAGGGTGGGGTGGCCTGACCGCAGCCATTGAGTGCTGGGGTTTCTTATTTGGAGGGGGCGTATACATCTGGTTTCTCAGGGTTGAGTCCTGGCATCATGGGGCCTTATGGGATGCTGGGGATTGAATTGGGGTCATCCGCATGTAGGGCAGGTTCCCTAACCACCTTAGTATTGTCCCTGCTCCCTGGTGTTTCTGAGAACAATTTTGAGGTTTTTGTTGGGGTGTTGGGCGGGGTGCTGTTGGCTGTTGGTCTCCACCACACCTGGCAATGCTCAGGGATCACTCCTGACAGTGGTCAGGGAATCCTATGGGTGCCGGGGATCTAACTCCAGAACGGCTACCCACAAGGCCACTGCTCCCCCTGTTGGCCTTTTTTTCTGGTTCCCCTTCTTTCCAGATTCCTCTGGTGACTAGTTGTAGGCGACCCTGGGTCTGTTAAATGGCTCGGGCTCCCATCTGGATCCCAGTGCTGCTGTTTCTGGTGCTGGCCGAGTCCAGAGACTGTGCTGGAGCTGGGAGTGACCCGGGAGTGTCCAGCAAGGGGGCCAGGGAAAGGCTTTTACTGTTGTGTGCTCTGGTGTCAGAGGTGGTGGGGAGGCATTAAAGTGTCCCTCCTGAGCTCCACATGGTATGGCCTCCAAATCCAAAAGCAAACCCCTAGGGGCCGGAGTGATAGCACAGCGGGTAGGGCGTTTGCCTTGCATGTGGCCGACCTGGGTTTGATCCCTGGCATCCCATATGGTCCCCCACGCACCACCAGGAATAATTCCTGAGTGCAGAGCCAGGAATAACCCCTGAGCATCGCTGGGTATGACCAAAAAGCAAAAAAACAAAACAAAAAACCAAAACGCAACCCCCTAAAAGTGGCCTAATATCTAGTTTGCCACCTGCTCTCTGCTGGTTCTGGGTTGCTGGAGGTCTGACTTTCCAGCACTTTCTAATCTGCAGACATTTGGTAAAAGCCAGAGGCTTTTGTTTTTTTCCTTTTTGGGTCACACCCGGCGATGGGCCTGGGTTACTCCTAGCTCTGCACTCAGGAATTACTCCTGGCGGTGCTCCGGGGACCACATGGGATGTTGGGAATCGAACCCAGGTTGACTGTGTGTAGGGCAAAAGCTCTACCCACTGTGCTCTTGCTCCAACCACGCCAGAAACACTCTTAATTGGATAAACAAGTTTTTTGGTTTTGTTTTAGGTTATACTTGGCAGTGCTCAGGTATTATTCCTGTCTTTGTGCTCAGGGATCATTCCTGACACTGCTCAGGGTCCCTAGGGACTGTTGGGGATTGAACTAGAGTCAGTTTAATGCAAGGCAAGTGACCTTTCATCTGTACTACCTCTTGGGCACCACTGGTGAATTCATATTTACCAAGTTTGTTTAAGGTTGGGGTTGGAGTGATAGCACAGTGGGTAGGGCATTTGCCTTGCAAGCGGCCGAGTTCAATTCCTCCGCCCCTCTCCAAGAGCCCAGCAAGCTACCGAGAGTATCTCGCCCCCATGGCAAGGCCTGGCAAGCTTGCCGTGATGCATTCGATATGCCAAACACAGTAACAGTTGTCACAGTGGAGATATTACTGGGCCCGCTCGAGCAAATCGATGAACAACGGGAGGACAGTGACAGTGACAGTTTAAGGTTGAAGAGCAGTGTGCTACCCTATTCTCTGCAAGCAACCTTTTGCTCCCAGTTATTTAAATCCAGGGCCGCACATCCAAAAGAACAAAAGCAACCGATGTTGGCGCAGATGTGGAGAGAAAGGGACCCTCCTTCATTGCTGGTAAGAATGCTGACTGGTTCAGCCCTTTTGGAAAACAGTATGGACGATTCTCAAAAAATTAGAAATTGATCTCCCATTTGACCCAGCAATATCACTCCTGGGAATATATCCCAGAGAGGCAAAAAAGTATAATCGGAATGACATCTGCGGGGCTGGAGAGATAGCACAGCGGGTAGGGCGTTTGCCTTGCACACGGCCGACCCAGGTTCGATTCCCAGCATCCCATATGGTCCCCTGAGCACCGCCAGGAGTAACTCCTGAGTGCAGAGCCAGGAGTAAACCCTGTGCATCGCCAGGTGTGACCCAAAAAGAAAAAAAAAAGAAATGACATCTGCACTTCTATGTTCATTGCTGCACTGTTCACAATAGCCAAAATCTGGCAAAAATTCGAGTGCCCAAGAACAGATGACTGGTCAAAGAAACTTTGGTACATCTACACCTTGGAGTACTATGCAGCTGTTAGGAAAGATGAAGTGATGAAATTTACATGCAAGTGGTACTACATGGAAAGTATCATGCTAAGCGAAATGAGTCAGAAAGAGTGGGACAGACATAGAAAGATTGCATTCATCTGTGGAATATAAAGTAACAAAATAGGAGACTAACACCCAAGAATAGCCGAGATAAGTACCAGGAGGTTCACTCCATGACTTGGAAGCCAGCCGCACATGATAGGGGGAAAGGCAGCTCAGATAGAGAAGGGAGCACCAAGTAAAAGGTGTTGGGAGGATGCTCCCAGGATGGGAGATGGATGCATGCTGAAAGTAGACTATAGACCAAACATGACTGTCACTCAATGCCTCTTTTGCAAATCACAGCACCCAAAAGGAGAGAGAGAACAAAAGGGAATGCCCTGCCACAGAGGCAGGGTGGGATGGGGAAGGGATACTGGGATCGCTGGTGGTGGAGAATGGGTACTGGTGGAGGGATGGGTACTCGATCATTGTATAACTGAAACCCATACACAAAAATCTAAGTCTACAACTGTACCTCATGGTGTTTCAGTGTAGCACTGTAGCACTGTCCTCCTGTTGTTCATCAATTTGCTCGAGCGGGCCCAGTAACATCTCCATTGTGAGACTTGTTGTTACTGTGGTTTTTTTTTTTTTTTGGGGCATATTGAATATGTTAAGGTAGCTTGCCAGGCTTTGCTGTGTGGGCGAGATACTCTCTGTAGCTTGCCGGATTCT